GCCACACCACGCCCACGCCCACGCCCTCGCCGGGGCACATTTATCACGCATACGCAGCGTATGCTGGTTAGCCAGAGGTACCCCCGCACCGGGGGCCTATTGCAGTGCCAGCGCCCAAGCGAATTGCAAATTTCCGTAGCGTAGCCCCAAAAGTGAGTGCCGACCACCGAACGCAGTCAAGGGGCAGCCTTAACCAAATATGGCCGCACGGAACTACAGTATTTCTGACCTCCCGCCGCAGTGGGGGCCGGGCTCAGGGGCGGGGAATGCAATTAATTATGCGAGTGGGTCTAAAAGTACAGACAAGGCAGAAGTCATAAAGATGCAGGAACGAGATGAAAAGAACTTTAGGGTTATGAGGAGAGTCCGCTTTTACGAGTAGTTGAGCTGAGAAAATCAAATGTGGCAGGCATTATGCCTCGGGGGATAGGATTTGCAAGGCTCAATGTCTCAAAAGGTGATTTCATTGGAAAGAAGATGAAACACAGAGCTCTGTCTTAGAATGGGCATATCTGAGAGACTGTTTCAATCCTTAATCGTATACACTCATTGGCAGGAAACATGCGCACAGCAGATTATTGCCAGCGTAAATCGTATGAAATTGAATATTTAATATTCCATTATAAGGTTATAAGGATTTAGATACCGTATTTAGGAACTGGCAACCAAATCGATGCATTGGCCGGTCATTCCGTTCCCATTACCTCAAAACACTCGCCCAAAACGGACAGAACGAAACAGGTATCCTAAATGTGTACTGTGCCACATACTGTGCCCTTTTTGAGCCAACTAAAAGAACAAATATTCGTTTTCCAGAGCAAACAAATGTGCACACGAACTCCGTGTTATTCAGAGACTACGCACGAAATTCGGAGTGCTCGAACTAGAAGACGCATGAGTATGGCTGTGATTTTATGAATACTTTGAATACTCTCTAGCCAGAGATCTTAAATTGTGGAACATATTTATTTCTTGCATGGCATTGATTGGCTCACCGGGGTATTGACCCGTGGATGTTACAAATATTTCAACATCAAATGGTATTCCCCGTTGTGCCACCACTCCCTCCATGCTTTTCCATTCCCCCCCAGCGCCCACAGGAATGCAACGTCATGCAACAGTTCGAAGGGAATGGAACGCGAATGGGAGAGACTTAATGAGATTCCGTTTTGCCCTTTGATTGATTGCAGCAAAACGATGCGATGCTGACCAGGTCCATTCCAGTCTCCATCCTCCATCGTCCACCCACCGCCAGTCGTCTCTCCGCCCCGGCACACCGGCCGCAGGACTTTGGCAATTTTTCAAAAAATTTAATTGAGCTTTTGGCCGTTGGCTGTTTTTGAGTAAATAAATGTTTTATTTATGAGAAATGTCTGGATGGGCCTATGGCCGATAGCGCGATGGTTGGGTGGGGTGCTCGGCCTGCCTGGGGCATTTGTGATTGCACAAATGGCAACAAATGATCTGTAAAAATCTCGAACCCAACCAAACACTGTAAACTTTTAATCAAGAGATACACTTGAGGGGCTTTTTCCCCAATCCGCAAATAGCCGGCACCCTCTGGAAGAGCTTTTACATCTAATTAGAGGGAAGTATACTTGGTTAGTGGCTTTTCGTGATGGGGGGTGAGGGGGTGAGCGGCGACCCTGTTAAAAGTTGACATTTTACTTTGGTTTCTCTTAGTGTGGAGCGGGCCCTGGACGAAAGTTTTGCCTGCCACGTGACCTTTTCGTAGGTTAAGAGTGGGCTGTGTTGGGGGTTAACTAATGTGACTTGAGACGCTCATCCAGACAGGATGGCGAGGGCGAGGGGGAGGGTAGGGGAGTTGGAGTTGGAGTGTTGGTAGGTCAGACGGAAAGTAAAGTAAATACTTGTATTTTTCTATGTAAGTAACTGAAAACCCTTTTTATGGCTTAGGGCCAAGTCCCTTTTGCATTAGGACGCCACACATGTGCGTCCTTAGGGGGGTTTCGAGCGGGGGCTGTTTATTTTTTGGCTTTGGCTTTGGCTTTGGCTTTCCTTTTCGCTTTCCATGCGAGACACGAGACATGACTGAACTTGTGCGGATTGATTTGTTTATCCCCATGTATTTTGTAAGCTACAAATGATTGAGGTCCTGTTTTCTGTTTGTTGAAAAACCAGTCGAAACTCCTTTGTGCGCAAATCAGACTAATTGAAGAGGGAAATCAGAATTAGAAAACCCCTTTCAAAGTCCACCAAAGCCAAGAAAATCTCTCCCAACATGAGTTGGATAATTTGGAAAGAGTTCTTAAGTTCCCTTGTTCCCAAACCATAAATTAGCCACATTAACCATTAAGAATCCAACGCAACCATTGTACATACGATGTTGGATCATTTTAACAGTTCTTAACTTCATTTAGAGCATGTTCCGAAAACCCTTCATTAACTATCATTATACAACACACACAAACATACATACATACATACAAATATACATGTATAATTATTCTCAATATCAACTACCTCCAAAGCGGGAAGTGGTGGAGCGGACGACGAGGAATTTTCAATTTTACTTTCGCTTATCTCAAGAAGTTCATCTGATTCTTCTGTTCCTTCGTTCAGAGTATTTTTTTCTCAAAGCAATTCCATTTTAATTACATTAAATTACATATTCCAAAAACAGACGCGAGAGAGGCGAACAGCAGCAAAAACACTTTCTAACAGGGGAAGAGCGGCAGAGCAATGGTGACGGAGAGAGCGAAACGTCAAAGTTCGTTCACTTGTAAACAGCAAAACAGAGGAACAGAAGGTAAGCTTCGCTGGCCGAAGCTTTACATACCCTTGAAAGCGCATGGTTCCAGTAGCAGATCAATGAATATGAGCTATATTGCGGGTACAATTATATCCTTAGACCTGCATAACTCTTGAGGTATCACGAATGTGCCTGACTTAGCCTATTCTGGGCGCTATGTTGATTCGGATTTCGATTCGGGCAAAACCATAATACCCACACCTTGGAAGGGTACAACAAACAGCAACGGAAACCGTCGCCGACGAGCAACAACAATGAAGCCAAAGCAAAAGGCAAAAGGCACAGAGAAGAAGCAAAAGACAGAGATAGCGACACCGACAACGGCAACGGCAACGGCAGCGACGGAGACGGAGATTGGGACAGAGAAGAAAGAGCCTTTTTATGCGGCGCAACTTTGGCGCTTTTTATTAAACAAGCCGACGAAGTGTGGAGCGGGGGCCTGGCGGTGATGATGCTGAGGCGGGTGGTTGGGGGAACAGCATAAGGTGAAGGAGCATAGAATGAACATTGCCGGCTAAACCGGTAACACTTGTTTATCAGCGGCAACCAACCCACACGACCGACAAAAGAGAGATAGAAGGAGAGAGAGAGAGTGAGAGAGAGCAAAACCCGTATGTCAGTGGATTGAGCATGGAAATATGTTAAGCAGCGACTGAGTGAGAGGGAGATAGAGCCAGAGGATGATCAGTCAAAAGGGTTGCAGGTGACAAAGACAAAAGAGAGAACCAGAGAGAGAGAGAGAGGAAAAGACTCCTCTAATGTCATCATTATTGTCAATATAACAAGTTTATTGACTGCCATCCCCCCGCCCCATGCACCCCTTGGGGTCATTAGAGAAATGCTTGGCATCGGCGAAGTTTGTCCCCCCCCTTTTTTCACGACCCCACACTCTCCGCGCTTCTAAGCTTAGATTAAACGCAAGTTAATGACTTAATTAAGTGCATGGCAAAAAAAACAAACAAATGAGAGCCGAAAGAAGAGATGGAACAGATAGATAAAGATAAATGATAGATATTGTCGCAGCAAATTGTGTATATTAACGCGTGCAAATATGCTCCGGCAGAGGAGAGTAGGAGATTGATGAGTGCGGGAGAGGGGGGCCTAATGTGTTTTAACGGTACCAGTGCAGGCAGAAATTAGCAGCATAGCGGAGAGGCAGAGGACAATAAGAACTGTAACGGCATCGGCTAATAGATAAAGGTTGAACGACATTTCCCTGAGAACACACACAGCAAATATCCCCAATTACCGCTATGGGGATACCCTCCAACCTCTGAGAATCTCCAAGAAGCCTATTGATAGCTGAATTTAAATTCGAATTAATTTCTTCAGCCCACATTGAACCATTTGTTGATATTTCTTTCGACTAATCAACAGGAGGGAGAGACTGCAAGTGAGAGAGAGAGAGAGACAGCAGCATCAACAGTAAGAGAGAATATAAAGAGAGCGAGCATCCAAAACAAATGTCCAAACAGGCCGCGTTGCACTGAGAGCGGTTCAAATTCAAGGTCGCTGTTATATTTAGCAGCCAAAGAGAGCCTATGTTATGTTCCAAATGACATTCGTACGGCTAACAGCGCTGTCATTTTCAGCAAGGCAGCCAGAGTCTTGTTAAGCTGTTCTGCTAAGTTCAAATATGTTAAGAAAGCAAACAAGAGCTTCGGTTAAGAGCAAGCAATGTTGGCACTGAAATTAAGAGAGTGGAGTAACAGCATGTTTACACTGCCGCGCGTTTTCTATCGATGTAGGAAAAGAAGCAATGCGAAGGAATTACTCTGCCAGAAGCAGGTTATTGTTTATAGAGATTAGTTGATTTATGTGTTTAATAAAGAGGGAAGCAATCAAATTTCGAAAATCAACAAAAATATGGAGCACGACATATATATGTTATAACCAGCCATTTCTCTGTGGAGTTTGTGGGCAGTGTTTCTACCTTTTTCAGACCTGCGTTCGACAACAATAAGCCACCATTAGACCCGTATGCTTATCCCTTGTAACATAAAACAGCGTCTCCGCAAGACGCAAAGACGCAAGACGCAGCCGTGGTGGTGTGAACAGCCTATAAGAGAGGCCATAAGAGAGCCCGACCGGTTGTGAGAGCTCGCGCGTTCAATGCTCACTTTTGCGCTGCAGTGCTGAGCGTCACTGCTTCAATGCTACTTCATTTCGTCAATTCGTTTTCAACTTTTCCGAAGGCATGTTGTGTTTTTCCGTGTCACTCCGTGTCCAAGTCGCGCGCGCTTTTTGACGTAAAGTGCTCGAGAAATTCCGGAGTCGCGCCGCGTCGCGAATCAGTGATAAGAGAAACAAATATTAATATCAAATATTTACAGCAAGCAAAAAGCAAAGAAAGAAGGGAAAATAAAAATAAACTGAAATTAAGGGAAATATTTGTCGCGGGCAAACGATGGAAGAGTGCTAAGTGTTTGTATCCCAGATAAATACTACCCCTCCTCTCTGTAACGGTGATTTTTTTCGAGTGTCGCGAGTGTCAATATGTGCGAGATCTGAAGATAAGATAAAGAAAGATATAAGGAGAAAGAGCATAGCGAAAGCAGTCAAGAATTAACCTCTGAAAGCAGCAAATTGCAACCGCGAGAAACCCCAAAATGTGGCTAAAAATCCTCCTCCTAGTGCTACCCACAATCATCCAGGGCGTCCAGCGGTACGACCAGACGCCCCTGGACGCCAGTCCCTACTACCGCAGTGGCGGCGGCCTGATGGGGCCCGACCTGAGCGGCACCTCCGCCACCTCCTTGGACGGCTTCCCGCACCACAACCGCTGCGAGGCGATCACCATTTCGATCTGCAAGAATATACCCTACAACATGACCATTATGCCCAATCTGATCGGACACACCAAGCAGGAGGAGGCCGGCCTGGAGGTCCACCAGTTCGCGCCGCTAGTCAAGATCGGCTGCAGCGACGACCTGCAGCTCTTCCTCTGCTCCCTGTACGTGCCCGTCTGCACCATCCTCGAGCGCCCGATCCCGCCCTGCCGCTCCCTCTGCGAGTCCGCGCGCGTCTGCGAGAAGCTGATGAAGACCTACAACTTCAACTGGCCGGAGAATCTCGAGTGCTCCAAGTTCCCCGTCCACGGGGGCGAGGACTTGTGCGTTGCCGAGAACACCACCTCCTCCACACCGGCCCCCACCAGGAGCGCCCCCAAGGTGACCACCAGGAAGCACCAGCTAGGAGTCGAAATACCCCATCGTAACATTGGATTCGTCTGCCCCGTCCAGCTGAAGACGCCGCTGGGCATGGGCTACGAGCTGAAAGTCGGTGGAAAGGTGCGTTCCCAAATGATTATTCCTATAGGAATTGAATACAAAAATGTTTTCCAGCCCTTAGAAATGTTTGGGAAAGTGTGTGTTTCAGATATTGGTACTGTACATTTCCCAAGGTTTTTTTTTTGTCAATTTTTGCCTGTTGCTGCCTTTGAAAGAACTCGAAGCAAATGTGTGAATGTCCGACGGGATTCTGAAAAGTTTTTAGGCAGTGAAAAATCGTGAAAATAGCTATCAAATATGCTGTATAGTTTTCCCTATAGTTCCAGATAATCTTTGGTATGGTTGTAGATCGAATTTTCTTGGGATCGGATACCATTCGGATTGTTCCTGGAAGTTGATCGGTTACAGATATCGCCCCATCATATAGGTCAAATGTGTTGTGTTTTTTTATGTCTTCATCTGGGGTCTGTAGCAATTTGCTGGCAGGCAGGCAGGCGGGCAGGTCGGAGGAGAGCAGAATGCATATCCTGTTGCGTTGAGCAGTAAACAATTTCCAAACACCACCAGGAAAACCAGCAGGAGGTCCTGCCAAGACACAGAGCCATAGGACAGGCAGAGACAGAGACAGGGAGAGGGAGAGCGAGCGCGAGCGAGCGAGAAGGCATATGGTATTGAGGAGCCCGCATTCCGATTCCTACCTGCCCGTACCCGTACCCGTACAGTAACTCATCGAAGAACAGCATTAACCAACGTCAGGTAGATCGCTTCTTTGGCTTCCCTCGAGGAAAGGTAAACCAGTTTTCTCAGTTTTCATCTTTTCTCTCTCGAGACAGAGACGGAGAGAGGAGAGAATAATTCTGTAATTTGTAATGCCTGGTTATGTAACCCACAAAAAAAAGAAGAAACCGAATACCCAACAAGAACTGAAGAACATTTAATAATTTGAACTGAACGATGGGGTCAGGCCTGTTGCATTTTCACGTTCTTTAATTAATTTTCCAGCCATTCGCAGCTCATCAGCAACCAGCAAGCAGCAACATTTTTTTGAACATCGTTTGAGTGATGATCAAATGTTTTTCCAATGTTTTTCTTTGGGATTTTGTCCGCTTTTCCTTCAGTCCTTGCCGCTTGCCGCTTGCCGCTTCCCTCTCTTTCCGTTGCCTGGCATGTGTAAAGCGCATTAAATACTTTGTGGCAGGATAATTCACACTTTGCTGGGAGTCTGGTGTTTGGTATCTGGCGGATACATGTGTATGTCTTAGCTACTTTAGCCATGCGATTCTGTTGCTTTTTTTTCCTCTCCCTTCATTGCTCTGTGTACTCTCTCCCTGGGTGTGTGTGTGTCATCAGTAACACTCCATCTCCATCTCCATCTCTAGCCCCTTTCCATCATCCTTGTCAGACACCATGGCAATCGTCGCAATCGCAATCGTAGTCGTAGTCGTAGTCCGTGCCTGAATGCCTTTCGAGTGCTGCGTGCGAAATTTAGCAGCTTGTTTTCCTCGCTTTCGATTGCATTTGGATTGCCCCCATATCATGATTGTCTGCTCGGGTCTCAGTGTCTGCTAATGATAATGCCACGGCGTGTGAGCGTGAATTAATGCTTATTGGATAGATAATGATACCGATACACGGGCAGGGAGGCAGCGGAGGGCCAAATGCGATACATCCCAGAGCATCCCTACTGGTTTACTGGTTTTCCTTGTCCCTACAAGTCCAGCTTATTCACTTCCTCAAATCATTAGCCCTAGACCTCCTTTCAGGCCGGAACCCGCAGTTTAGGCCACGCCAATGCCCGATTGATGGCTACATGTGTAGACACCCCTTCCGCAGGCCCCACCAAAAATAAATTAATCAACGAGCGCGAAAGGACACCGGCTCGAAGGAGGGCGAGAGGCGGGGGTTTGTGTAAAACCATTAAAAGCCTCATTTGGGACGCTTTTGACGCATTTAGAGGACGGCTCTATCCCCATTTTGGGGATTATTTGTTGGCGCCCAAATTGATTCATTTTGGGGGCAGCCAGAGTGGATCCCTGGCTTCCACTTTTAATTGTGAACCGATTCCGTAATTGATTGCCCCCGCCCTTTGGAGGAGTAAAAGGATTGTGGTTTTCTGCCCTTTTAGGCCGCTTTGGGCCGCTTTGGGCCGCTTTGCCTATGATTATTATTTCAGCAAAGACTGAGTCCATTTCTCAACTCGATTCAATTGAAATCAGAGTTGCCCTTCGGGCGTTCTGGCTCTCCGACTATCCGACGCCCACGCGCCATCCGACGGGGGTTTGGGTAATTGATTTCCGAAATTACATATTTCGCATGCGGCATTTTTGGTTGTTTGTGCAACATTTCACTGTTGCCGAGTGACTGCTTAATTTAGGCAAAAAGGTGCGGGACGAACGGCTGCGGGTCTGGGTTTGGGCCAACTTGAATAGAGTTAATATATAATGGATTTGGCATTCGGCATTCGGCATTCGGCTGCTTGTTTCGTTTTCAATAATTCACAAATTCTGGCTAAATCAATGGTTATTTTTGGGATTATAATTAGCCAGTGTTTGGATAGCATTCAAATTAAGCGAATCAAAGTGAAGCCTCCAAAGGCTCAAAGGCTCAAAGGCTCCCCAAGCTGTTTAGCCGTGGCCCATGGCTCAAGCACAAAAGATACAAAACACTCGAGTAGATGTACATTCAGAGATACATTTATCACTGTCCAGGGCTACGGCTGTTGCCGTAAAGTAATCCCCGGACTACCACTGGACTTTCAGGCGATGCTGCCATTGTCTCAAATCAACAACATCATCATCGGCACTCATTCGTGGCAACAATTCACGAGCAAAGCCCACAGATAATCTCTCCCTTTCCCACTCTCTGGCTAACTTTCCCCTGTGCCCTCCTCATGGAATGGCCTTTAATGTCCTGTGTGTCTGTGTGTGCTCTCCACGCATTCAAACTATAATCCACTTTATATTTTACGCTCGAGCTGTTCAATTTATAACCAATAAATGTTAAGCCCGAGTCGATTATTTATTTATTTTTACACACACACACACACACACGGCTCTCAGGCTCCTCGCAACGAAAAGCGTTTTCAACTCAATTAATTTGCCGGTAACAAAAATCCTGCATAGTACTTCCGGCTACTTAAGCACAGAGACAAACAAAGACAGTCCCCCCACTCAGCCCCCCGTAAAGCCATAAAAATTACCAGAAAATGGGAAAGCAATTTTTCCTATACGTGCCCTGGCCCTGGCCCTGGCCCTGGCCCTGGCTTGGGCTCTGGCTTGGGCCCTGGCTTGGGCCCTGGCTCTGAGCGATAAGAGCGCTTTGTTCTGCCGGACAACAATCCTTGTACAGCACAGCCATTATAGACTAATATTGTAAGGATTAGAGATTGTTTCGTGCAGAGAATCATTATCTAACAACACACTGGCATTTATACTAGCCGCATGATTATCCAGGCACTGTTGCAGGTGAAAACTGGCACTGCCTTAGCCCCATTTTGGGGGGCAAATACAATTTCTGAAATATGTATCTTTGATGGAAGGATTGCTAAGCCACCTCCTCGGCCCCCGTACGTTCATGCCCCATTGCTTTGGAGCTGGCAGTGGAAATGAAAATGGATTTGAAATTGCAATTGTTAGCGAAATGAAATGATAATGCCTGGCTTTGACATTTGCCTGACAGTTTTGGCCACTTAAATATGCCTAAATATTTAATTACTGGCAACCATTTAATGACAGTGCCGTGCCCGTCCAGTCCGCATTGGCCATTTGCAAATTTAAAATTTTTGGCTTAATAACTCCGGCTAACCGCACCTCCATGGCCCCAGCCCACACAGACCAGCGCCGCCACCCCAACCCACCACAAAATACAACGCAAAAAATATTCGGAAAATACAGAATTCGATTGACACCTTTTGTGCATTTTAGCCTGGTCTTTTTGTGCATTTACTAAACAGCATGTTGCCTGTTGCCTGTTGCTGTCTGGCTTGGTGGGCGTTCGGGGGGCCGAGGGGGAGTGTGATATCCATTGAAAATGTAACAAGTTTCGGGTAACCTTGGTACCAAAAGTGTCCAGGTCGATGATGGATCTGGGCAGATAGCCGTTTGGTTTGTTGCCAAAGTACATACTTTTTAACAGCCACAGATACAGATACATATCTGTATCTCTAACTGTAGCATTGTGGTCCTTTCAGTCGATTTTCTCGTCTTCAAAGATAGTACAATTCGCAGAGGGCTCCAAGTCCATTCGCTTATGGGATGTTTCGACGTATATCCCTTAAAAACTTGAGAAAAATCCCAGTAATGCTGCCATGCCTTCGAATATTTTTGACTTTGGGTCATTCTTTGTGGAAATTCCCTAAGAAGAAAAATGGCTTTTGCTTTTGCTTTGGCTTTGGCATTTTCTTTGGCCTTCCAAGATGTTTTCTGCCGAGTAATTCCCGCTTGTGTTGTGCAAACTGGAGCATAAAACTGAAACACATACTCGTAATATTCCCTTTTAATCAGAGAAACTAGCAGCACCCCTTGCCCCATCCACCCTTCAGATCTGTTCTATGCAGATGTTTTTGTTAGGCTCATGCCACAGAATTCTTTCAATGAAGTGGCTTTCATTTGCACCCACGTGCCCCACTTTGCGGCACTCCGCAAGCCCATGGAATATTTGACACAATTAAAAACAAAAGCGAACTGTACAAACAAATGTCAACCTCAGACAGAGGCAGGATTCTTCTTGGCCCAATCTCAGACATAGGAATCCTTTTTTTGTGTTCTGTCTTCGGTCGTCGGTCTTTGCTGTTGTTTGCTGTCTGTTTTGCTGTTTTGCATTGTTCTGTGAAGCGCTGCGCCATTTTGCGATGGCAAAAGGCATCTTACAGATACTTGAGATACACTCGGATACATTATGCAGACCATCCTTTGAGGCACCACTCCCCACTCCCCACCATCCATCCATCCATCCATCCATCCATTCATCCATTCATTCATATGTAAGCCAGAGAGTAAGTCGGTCTCTGATGAATTTATAATGCCCATTGTCTGCCCGTGCCCAGACAATGGCAAACACTC